CTATTTTATAATGCCAATTATTATTTTTTTTAATTTAATTTTATTTTATTTGTGAACATACTGTACAGAGCGGTTACAATTGCATGGGCAGGATAATGTGTACATTTCTTACCAAGCATTGCAGCCTCCTCCTTTGTTTACCCTTCCCATCCCTTCCCAGCCTCCCCCCTCCCCCTCCCTGAGCTCTTTTGAGCCACAGCATCACTTCCGTTTTTTGGTGATTAATTTTTTCAGCCCAGACCGGCTTTGAACCTAGATCCTCAGAGCTCAGCCTCCTGAGTAGCTAGGATTATAGGCGTGAGCCACCAGTGCCCAGCTCTTTGTTAGTTTGTTTGTTTTTGTTTTGTTTTGTTTTGTTTTTGGTTGTTGTTAATCAAAGATAGGAGTCTCCTTGCCTGGGTGCAGTGGCTCACACATGTAATCCTATCTACTCAAGGAGGCTGAGATCTGCAGATCACAGTTCAAAGCCAGCCTAGGCAGGAAAGTCTGTGAGACTCCAATAAACTAATCAGAAAACCTGAAGTGGCAATGTGGCTCAAGTGGTAGAGCATTTGCCTTGAGCTGAAGAGCTGAGGGACAGTGCCCAGGCCCAGAGTTCAAGCCCCACAACCGACAAAAAAAAAAAGAGTCTTATGGACTTTCTGTCCAGGCTGGCTTCCTCAGATGTCAGCCACTCCTCAGTAGTTAGGATTATAGGTGTGTCAGAGACCAGTGCCTGGTTTGGAACTTGACTTCTTAAAGTAGCAAAGAAATTTCCATTCCTTTCTTTGTTTAGAAATTAGCAGATTTTCATTACTATAAATAAAATAGTTCTAAAGAAAAGAAAAACAAACCATAGGAGAATAAGGAAATTTCTTTTTAATATATATATTTATCTCCTTTCAACCCTTCCATATAGTATTTCTTTTTCTTCTTTTTATTATCTTCGTAGGTATACAGAGGAGTTGCAGTTTAACAAAGCAGTTTATGAATACAATGCATCTTGATCAGTGTCACCCCTTTCAACATTCCCACCAGTCTCTCCCTCCACGCACCTTCCCTCAGTCTTCTTAATTTTGTAGGATACACTGAATTTTGACTGTATTCTCCCCCTCTTTTCTTCATTCCTCTATTTCTTTCCCCTTGACAGCATCCTACCCCTTTTAAGTACCTGCTTCCTGATGTTTATTTGGTTGAACTTTGAGTTTGCCTTTCTAAGAAAATACCCTATTTCAGTTCTCCCTTGTATCTACTATATTTCAGTTAATATATTTGTCTACACTTGCATACCCACCCAACTGTACACCCAACATACTTACAAGTGTATAAGCTACGTCTAGTTTCCACACATAAAGGAATTAATGCATCTTGGTTTCTCCAGGCCAACTTAACATAATTTTGGGGGTTTCTTTACAAATGGTCTAATATCATTCTGATGGATGTGTGAAATTCTATCATGTACATATACCACATTTTCTTCATTAATCCATTGAGGGGCATTTCAAAACTTTTAAATATTTAAAAAGGACATAAACAGATAAAAGAGTTTTTTTGTGGGAAACATTTGGAGCCCAGTGCTTCCTCTCATGTAAAAGCACCTCTTATCTTTAAGATGCTAAAGCATGGAATTTTTTTTTTTTGGTCCTTTCTAATGGTAACTTAGAATGATGCCTAGGAAGATCGCCTTTCTCTTTAGCTAAGTGGCTTCCTTTGTCCCTTTTTCCTCTTGTACTTGAGACACATCATTCTTAATTTTGAGTGCTTTCTGTGTTTCGAGACATGGCCTCAAATTATCTATGTAGCCACTAGATTCAAACTCTCAGTCCTCTTACCCAGTCTCCTACTGAGATTGCAGGAATGTGCCACCATGCTCAGCTAATTTTGAATACTTTAGAATCAGAATTGAAAAGTTTGTGCTAAAATAGTAATTTGCTAAGTAAATCAGTGAGTGTGGAATAATTTTCAGTATTTAATATTTACCATAACTAGTACTAATATATATGGAAAAGTAGCAACCCAAAGGGAAAAAATAGCTTAAGTTGTAAAAGAATGTGGTTTGTTCAGTTCTTCTCCCTCCTTCAAACCAATACAGGTAATATATGCCTTGAACACCAAAAATGATGAGCATGAATCTGCAATTCAAGCCCTCAAAGATGCTCATGAAGAAGAAATCCAACAAATTCTTGCAGAAACAAGAGAAAAAATACTACAGTATAAAAGCAAAGTAACAGAGGAGTCAGACCTTAAGAGAAAGATTCAAGTTCTAGAAGCATCCTTGGAAGATCACATTAAAATGAAACAGCAAGCTCTGACAGAATTTGAAGCCTATAAGCAGAGAGTGGAGGACATGCAGCTGTGTGCAGAAGCCCAGCATGTCCAGCGCATAGTGACCATGTCTAGAGAGGTAGAGGAGATCAGAAGAAAGTTTGAGGAAAGGTTGCAGAGCTTTGGACAGCTCCAAATACAGTTTGAAAAAGATAAACGATTGGCTTTGGAAGATTTACAAACTGCTCACCAAAGAGAGATACAAGAGCTGCTGAAGTCACAGCAGGATCACAGTGCCTCCATAAGCAAAAGCCAGGAGAAGGCCGAGGAGCTGCACAGGATGGAGTTGGAGGCCTTAAACAGAACTCTAGAAGAGCTCAGACTTGAAAAGAAAAAAATCATTGAGGATTATGAAGACAAGTTGAATAAAGCTCAGTCCTTTTATGAAAGGGAGCTTGATACTTTGAAAAGGTCACAGCTTTTTACAGCTGAAAGCCTGAAGGCTAGCAAAGAGAAGGAAGCCGATCTTCGAAAAGAATTTCAGGGACAAGAAGCAATCTTACGAAAAACCATAGGAAAACTAAAGACTGAGTTGCAGATGGTGCAGGATGAAGCAGGCAGTCTTCTCGATAAATGCCAGAAGCTGCAGGTGGCGCTTGCGACAGCAGAGAGCAATGTGCAGGTGAGTGAAGAGTAGACCTTTCAACTCCTGCCTTCCCTCAGAGTGATTCCCTTGCCACTTTCCCTGTGGCTTCCTTGCAGCTTTCTCTTGCTGCAACCTGGCAGGCTTCATTTTCACCACTTAAATTGTTGGGCCTTTTTTTTTTTTTTTACCTTTTTATGAGGAAAACTCAACAAGGGATCATTTTTATTATCCTGTACCAATCCTGTCAGAATTGCAGATATCAAGAGCCCAACAATATAACAAAAACCTGATAATTTATGAAAGGCTTTTAGTTAAACAACTTGCTTATATTTTGTTAAGTGGGTTAGGAGACTTAAAATATTAGTGTTTAATCATTGTTGTTTTTTCCTGTTCTCTTTTTTTCTTTTGTTTTCTCTGGTATTCCCATTAGGCAATATTTAGATACTGAACAAAATTGATTGCTAAATTGAACAAGGGTAAAGTAGAGTATGGACCAGGCTAAAAAGGCACTGTAAGTTTTGTTCTGTTGGCATTGACAGCATTATAGCTTTGTTTTTTGTACCTGTAAGATAATAGACTATACAAGAGGGGGAGGAGTCCCTATGACTTGTAAACTCAGGTTGTAAGTATCTCCATCACCTATAGATTTAAAACAAAGCATCAGAAAATAAGACTTCTTGATGAGAGAAAGCTGAGACTTATGTTTTTAGCAAATTATTTAGCTTAGTATCATTCTCAATTTTGATCATGTCTATTTCCTCTTGCTTAGGTTCTTCAGAAACAGCTTGATGATGCCAAGGAGGGAGAAATGGCCTTATTAAGCCGGCACAAAGAAGTGGAAAGTGAGCTAGCAGCTGCCAGAGAACGTTTACAACAGCAAGCTTCAGATCTTGTCCTCAAAGCCAGTATGTCTGACAAAGTTTCATGGAATACTCAGTGTTCAAGATAAATTTGAATATTTAAAAATGTCTTCTAGTTGAATATTTAAATTTTCTTCCCATATTTTAAAAATATTTGGAGTCTCTGCTAAAGAATTCTATTACTAATTACCCAAAAGAAGCAAATGAGGAGTGACTTATTTTTAACAGTATCTTTTTCTAGAAAAACATCAAGGATTAGGATGTAAAACCACCTGTACTTAGTAAAAGCAAAAGGAAGCAGTCATTCAAAAAGACTTTGTCCTTTAAACATACTTTGGAGTATTCCCATTAGTTGAACTGCAGGTAACCCACAGTGCCTCATTTCACAATGCTTGTTGTTAAGCGTGTTTTTACAAATCAAAGCTGAGTTGCCCGTTCTGAAGTGACTAATGTGCTTGTTATGCAGTCCTTACTAGAGGACGAGAGGAGGATGGTCCAGGTCAAATGTGATGGGATATTGTGTCTGAGCGTTTAATGTGGCTCATAAAACAGTCTGAGGCCTTTGTTTGATTCTCAGTGGCTCATTGGTCAATCCTAGATTTCCCTTCCCACAAAGCAGTTGTTTGTAGTAACCCTCAGCCTGTACCAGAATAACTGACAGTTGGTAAAACTACAGGTGTTGAGCTCTACCTGCATATGTTCTGACCTCTGGGTCTGCAGCAATGTGTTGCTGCTTGGCTAGGGTACTTTGAGAACCTCCAGTCTTACACTATGCTTTCTATGTGACCCTCCTCTCAAAATGCAATTCTCTCTGTCTCTGTCTGTCTCTCACTGTCTGTTTCTTCCCACTTCTTACATAAACATCTGAGTTGCTTCTACTTCAACTTATATAGCTTGCAGACTTTAAAAAAAAAGTGAAGTAGTCATAGAGACCAGCATCACTGCTCTGAGAAAGGACTCCTTAATTTAAGAAAATTGGGCCAGAAGTGTTCCCCTGGTAAATACTTCCATTTTATAGAGTTAGGAAGGCAAAGAAAAACTTGCATGTGCAGCAATTTATTTTACTTAGATATAAAGTTCAATTATGTCATTAAATAAAACTGTCTTGTCTCAGGGCAGCTGAAGTATAAATTATAAATTAAGAGCATTTTCTTCTTTGTGGGCTAGGTCACATTGGAATGCTTCAAGCAACTCAAATGAGCCAGGAGGTTACAATTAAAGATTTAGAGTCAGAAAAATCAAGGGCCAATGAGAGATTATGTCAGCTTGAAGAAGAAAGAGCTTTTTTGGAAAGTAGAACTCAAAGTCTGGATGAAGAGCAGAAGCAGCAGGTTCTGGAGCTGGAAAAGGTAAAAAGAGGGCACACACATCTTTGCCTTCCTTCAGCGTGTGCGCGCGCACACACACACACACACACACACACACACACACACACACACACACACACACACACACACA